CCACATCAGCATCCGGGGAGTACTGACTCTCAAAATTCCAAGTTGAGGAGGGGTAATTAAGACCATAAATAGTTTAAGATTGTAAATAATAATCAGTATCAAGTTTAGGGGGTGATAAGGTATTTTACCAATTCTTTATTTTTTTGTTTTCAATTCTTTGTGCCTCGTCTAGAAATAAAAAAAAATGTGGAAGTTTGAACCACTGACATCATAGCTCTTAAGCACTAACATATATAGCTAAACCAATAGATCAAGAGTCACAATTACATATTTTATGCAACAATAAATTATTTGACTTGTATTATAAATTGCTTGGCTATTATTATTTTTTTCCATTCATCTTCTTTATTAGTATTGAAATTGATTAAGAACAATTTGCATAACCGAATGAATGGTGAATTTTTGTGTGATTACTTGGTGTGCTATATATAAAAAGGTATTTAGTATAACTTCTAATGAGGTTATATTGAGTATATTTAAAAAAAATGAAAATTCATATTTAGTAAGATACTTTAGTTGCGTTCTATAAAATAATATAATTTTTTTAATATGATGTTACAGTGAATTATTATTTATTTATTGTTTAAATTCGTGACACCGCTTTGCTGGTGGGATGACATATATCCTATGAAATTAGTCGAGGTGCGCACAAGTTAGCCCGACCACCTTGGTCACTGAGAACATGTAATGCACTCCTAGCAGACAACATTATAGACTGGCACATGAGGTGTCAACATGATTAGCATAAATAATTTAGTTAGGAGTAAGAAAGATAATAATTTAGGAGTAGCAGTTCAAAGTTCAAACAAACAATTTTGGAGAACACAAAAATTAGTTAGCATAATGCCGCCGAAGATAGTAAACGTTCGGTATTCGTCAATCGTCTCCAATTTGCTGTAGCTGACAAAGACTACTCCAAGAACCTCTTCATCAGGTGCTCCCCCCTATATTCATCTCTTCTGTAACAGTTTATTTCCTTAATTTGCATTCCTTCACTTTTCTCCACCAGTGAATCAGTGTAGTTTTTTCTGGAAAAAATAATTAGTGTAGTCCTGCTCTAAAATTTACTGTAGGCAACGCCCAAGTTAAGAGATAAGAAAATGGTTATTCAGTGTACTAACCTCTCATGGTTACAAAAAAAACAATATTCCCTCTCACGGTTACTAGAGATAATTTTATCAATGATCATTGAACTTTTGTGTTTGTTATCCAAAAGTCACTTTTCTTTTTTTTGTTACGTAAAAATCATTCAACTTTGTGTTCATTACACAAAAGTCACTTTTCTTTCTTTTTTGTTACATAAAAATCATTTTACTTTGTTTTAGTTATCACAAAAGTCACATTTTTACTTGAAAAGTATATTATGCCCTTGATAATATATAAACCTTCATATTTATGTAATACCTTCTATATTATATACTATGTAATATATTTTTAAACAATGTATTTTATTTATAAATAAAATAACTTAATATTATTTCATTTACTATTTTTATAATATATTCGTATATTTAATTTTTTCTTAACATTAATTTTCAAAATATATTAGTTGCATTATTAAATTTGTCAGTAACTTTAATATATATTAGTAGGGATATTATACGAATATATTATAAAAATAATAAATAAAATAATATGGATCTGTCAGCCGGCCCCAATAAATTTTGCCCGCACCAATAGGCAATAGCTACGCTAACCCGATGAATACATGACAAATGTCTTGCATATAAACTTGTGACTGTTATAAATAGAATTGTATTTATGGTGAATGTCTATATTTAGAGAGATTCTAGGGTTCATTGCTTGGTGGCTAAGTCACCCTCTCCCTATAAATAGAGGGTTCTATTCCATTGTAATTTATCCCAAAAATTCAATAAGAATTCTCTCTCTTTCTCTGCAATATTGTTCTTTTTTTTTTATTGCTTCATAACACGTTATCAGCACGAGACTCTAACCAATTGAGTAGAAACTTTGGGATTGAGCATAATGATTGTCAATTGTTCCATGAACTTCCTTCATAATTAAATTCTGGATTTAAGGTAAGTGTTTTACCGTGTTTTTCTCTTTTTTCTATAATTTGATTTTAAATACAAGCAAAGACAATAAAATTTGATTATAACTCTAATGGAGTTAGTAAGAAATTATAACCACTCGAAGTAGTAAAATTTTTATGTCTTGCCATGATCAAATTTATGTATGATTATGGGCACAAGAAGTGCATACCCGTCCCATTGAATTTGCTTCATTTCTCTTGATTATTTGTAATTAATAGAATTATCTTGAAACGAATTACGCATACGTGTATTCGTTTTGCTTAGTGTATCCGGAATTATGTCACGCGTACGTGTACACAATTAATAACACTTTATTATTTTTAAGATTGTTTTGTCAAAATTGCGCAAACGCATACTTTACCTTTAATTTAAAAAATCATAATTATGTCACGATACATAATCACAATAATTGATTTGTTAATACACGCGTAACGCATACTAGAGATTTGATTTTTGAAGTTATGAGGCATTTATCCTACTATGAAAGATTGGACAACTTAACATTATTTAAATAATGAGCCTGTTGGACTCGAACATCTTGCTCATTTATTAGAACATTTGATCGAAAAAATGTTTTCAAACCCAATTCTCAATTCACTGATATCTTTTAATTACTACTAATTAATAATGGCCTATATTATGAAGTCATCTAATGACCCAAATTGCCATTTAATACACCACAAGATCATATGGCTCAATACCCGCGTAACTACCATTTTCCTAAATATTTCTTATTTTTTAACTTTCATGAAATACAATTAATAATAATTAAAACCAACACTACATCTCACAGAATAGGAAAACCACGAATCAGAACAATACTCCAACGATATCAATTCACTTTATCATACTTTGTATTTGCAATTCACTCTATACTAAATTCACCTATTTAAATAAACATACTAGTAATAAAATAATTATAAAACAAACATTCATGGTAAATAAAGCAATAGTGCACCAGCAAAGTTGATAAACAATAACTGTTTGATTATATATATATATATATATACTAAAAAAATTGCGGCTTTGAAGAAAAGAATTGTACCTTTTGTATTGAAAAATCTAACTTCTTTCGGTACAGAAGAATCAAAATAGCAAGAAAAATTCCCAACGGACCTTGAACCTCAGCCGAAACTCGCCGGCACCTTCACTCGATCTCCTCCAATTTTGGGAACCTCTGTGCGTGTTTTAATGGGTGAAACTAGAAACTTTTAAGGTGATTTAATGGGTTAAACTAGCAATTTTGCTGAGAAAGGAATGTTTTTTTAGCTGATTTTATGGATTTTGCAGGAGGTCATTTACATGGTTTCATTTAATGGAGGTGGTAGCACTTTTTGATGGTAAAAGTATCGTTCTCTGAGAGGAAAAGAAAGGCGGCTACTCTAAGTTTCTCAATCTTTGCTCTTTCTTTCGTTATCCGTCTGTCTCCTCCATACTCCTTTTCTTTTTTTAATTAGAGTTTTTCCTCTATATATGCATGTGCAGGTGGTAAACAAAAATATGTGTAATCGTGTGTGTGTGTGCCAGTGATTGTGTGGGAGTGGGAGTGTGGGATGAGATATATTAGGAGATAGTTGGGGAATGTGGGAAAATGATAACTGGGAAAGAGGGAATCGTGTACTTAGTTAGGATTCTTACTTGCTTTTTTTTTTTACTTCACTTTTTTTTTTTCAGATTTATTTTTCTTCTTCTTTCGTTAGATTTTTTTTGAGCTTTTTACTAAGTTAAAAATAAATAAATAAAAGTAAAATACAGACACACACACACACACACACATATATATATATATATTAAGAAAATTATATAACTAAATAAAAAAATCCAATATTTACACTATAGTATATATACATACTCTAAGAGTGTGAGTACTTTTGTATTATTTATTTATTTTTATATAAAACTTATTAAGAGTAAGATAAAAGTTTTAAAATATTAAGATTAGACCTAGAAGAAATATTTACACTAAAATAGTATGAAATTCGGTGTGGTCAAAAATTAATTATTCACAGTGTCGAGTCAAACTAATTTATATAATATGAAAGAGAGGGAGTAAATCGTTTACCCTTTCAGCCAAAGGTACCTTTTTCCTGGTCCCTTTAGACAATTATTATTGACTCATTTCATCTCCGGATCATACATACAGATTCCAGCAGTTACCTTTTCATTTGTTTCCTCAACCAACAAAATCTCTTTTGCAAAAAAGAGACCAATAAAATTCCAATCATAATAACTCAATCTTCTTAAACAGTATTACTAGTATCCACCATCTAAAGGAGCCTGGTCCTATAAATTATTTGAACATCCGAATAATCATCTTTATCCTCTATGACGTGCTTGCTTCTTATTTTTAGGTAAAAATAGGTGTCTTAAACTTAATTTGAAAAAGGGATAATAAATAATTATCCCATTAGGATTGCACCAAAGGACCCCCTGTATTTGTTAGAAGTCTAATAAGTACCACCTTGGTACAACCCCAATGGGGTAACTAGCCTTCCTAACTACTTGAAAAGCTAGAATCATTACCACAAATATAATAATTCCGAAGTGCCCAAGGTAAAAGGGTATAGAGGTTTTATGTCTAATTCTTTCTAAGAGCCCGTTTGGACATAAAATTTTTCTTCCTTTTTTCCAAAAAAATTTCACCTTTTTTCGAAATCAGCTTTGTTCATAAATTTTTCAATTTTCACTTGAAGATGAATTTTGGAAATTTTCAAAAATTTGAAAAACTCCCAAAAACTGTTTTTCAAAAATTTCACTCAAATCACTCACAAAACTTCAAAAACAACCCAAACTAAAATTTATGTCCAAACACAACTCCAAATTTCAAATATCATTTTCACTTCAAAAAAATTTTCACCATTTTTTGGAAGTTTACAATTCTTATGTCCAAACGCCTACTAATTATTGATCCAAATTCACTCTCAACTGATAGGACATAGACGAGGAAATCGATAAGGGAGGAATTATCACTCAATTGTTACCACTTGGCATAGCAACTTTGCTAACAAGAACAGCACAAAGTACTATAGTAAAGATTTAGTACACTTGTAATTAGCCTGCCTCTACCGATAAAATTCAGCTAACTGTTAGAAAATGCTTCTATTAATTGATATGACAACGAACAAAGATGCGGCACTCAGAGCCATCTCCCATATGAGATGAAAAGCAGAAGAAAATTGTATGTGATCCAGAGGACTCACGCCATCAACAATCTTTACTTGCTTTCATTAACAGGGAAGTAGACACCCTCTGCTGCCAACCAAACATTGTCTGGACGTTTTTCCCTCACACCGCAAACCTGCATATATGGAGGTTTTAAGGCTATTGATGCAGCAGAAGAAAAATACTTAAAGGGCTACTATAAAATACAGAACTCTCGTGATGCTAGTACAATGTTGAGCTCACCTCTTGCTGACCCCCAGCAATTCGCGTGTATTTCTTGTCATGACTGTGAAGATAACCTGCAGTGTCCACATGTTGAAGCCTGATTCTTTGGTCTTGCCTCCAAGTTTTACCACTGCCCTCAATTTCAAGTCTAGCGAGGGGAGAAAGAAGAAACAGGTCAAACAAAGAGGTGGTGGTCAGTAAAAGATCAAAGGAGGCAGCAAATGCCAGACTGTATGCAAAACACTGAACCAGTCTTACTTCCAATAGTCCCCAGTATCAGATTCATTGTCATCACCAAAGCAGCTCACCTGCAAAATTCCACCAATTAATTTCAGCGGGAAAACACCAGAGAAACTAAAATTCAATAGCAGTTATTGATATCAAAACATACAACAAAGAGGATGTAGCTGAGACATCAGAAAAATACAGCTAATGTGACTAAATTGGGAGCATAGAAGGGGCATCTTAAATTATAGTAGCAGTGCCGACCCCCTAACCCCCCCCCCCCCCCCCCCAAATAAAAAAAGAAGAGCACATAAGCATACTGTCTTTTGCTTGCAGCTATCATCAGCCCCTTGTGTGAACTAAAATTCCTCATTTTGATTGGAAAATTGTAACATGGTTTATTCTATTGCTGTGACCGTCAGTGATATTGATCAGGTGAATCTAGAAATCTTAGTGTCCTTCATAATGACATTTTAATATTTACTGAACTCAATTGTGAGAGCAAATTTTGTTTCACCGTGAATTGAGACAGACAATTTTTTTTCGATAAGCAACTAAGCTTCCAATTTACTTTCCAAGGATAATCAACTACAACTATTTATTTCCAATATTAATATGTAGTTTTTGTAAGTTAATGAGTTATAACCATATAAAGACAGATTTATGAACACATCTGTAGAATGGAAAACCTAATATTCAGTGTTAACATCTGAATGTAATCTAATTACACAGTGATTCACCAAACAGAAAATGTAATACACTGATTAGGCGATGTTACTAACAAAGGAAAAAAATGCATATTTTAAAATATTTGTTAGGGACCAACATAGGGGATATAATTGTCACCTTTAATTGTTCAATAGAGTATAATTTACCTAGTGTCTTAACTCACAAGTCACAACACAGAACCCACATAACTATTCGCATAAAACAACATATGAGCATTGTCTCAATGTAAACCAAAGAAAAGGTTTGACTTTCAATTTGTGATGGGAGTTTCGGACAAATAGCAACATGCAACAATATAGGGAAATTTTTCTTTGAAAAAACTAGATATTCAAATAATCGTGACCGCATAATCATGATTATGCTGCATCAAAATGAGAATTATCTGCTGATGCCTTGTCCTTGTTGTTACTTCTGTACTTCCATTAGTCCAGGGTATTGTCCATTTTGGTTATTTAAGCACCTTATATCTTAGTTTTGTTTTTTCCATAATGGTAAAATGGCATATTCTATCTGTTGATGAATCTACAATGCTAAAACTAAGGAAAAATGCAGGTATGAATTTCTGAGCATGTATCAAACCTCATATATGTTATGCTCATATATAAAGGAATAACAACTTTCTGGTATTTCCTCTTCATTGTAAATAATTTGAGTACCAAGTGCTATGTGAACATGAAAATCGTGGCTAACATTGTCCATGGTTGCTTTTTATACCCCAAATATAACTCCAACATTTAAAAGGTTCATGGATTAACTAAGATTCATAAGCATACTGTCGACTATCCAGATGGAGTAATAAAGAAAGAAAGTAGATGAGAAGTATCATGTAACGGAGAAAGAGCAATAAACCAGGCTACGAACCTCCATATTCCCTGAAATGGGAGACGCATGCAAATGGCTGTGCAGCCATCTCCTGGTCTTCATATGTTGCAGCCTGATGATGCTTCCACTCTTAATAGGATCACCTTGCTTGGATGAGTCAGTGCTCCTAACAATCTGTGTGAGAGATCACACGTCAGTTGTAACAACCAATATCTAATGTTTCAACACATTTTGAAGTGAATGCAAAAATATAACACTTTAAGATAATCATAACATACCCAGTAGCTGTTAGCATCATCTACGCCAGGAAATCCAGTGACCGACTGCTGCCCACTGCCCGAACCATATGGCACATCGTGTGAATGCAACCGAAATTTTGTCTTCTCGTGCATCAACTTAATCGTGGATCCATATGTAATCTATGAAAACATAATCAACATCGTTTGTAGAATCAAAACATAAATACTGCATATTATCATTAGGTAATCTTCAACTTAGATCCAGGGAGGCCTAATATTCTAACAGCTAAGACAAATGACGAAACCGGCATACAACAAGTCATAAAATTAAAACCTAAATTAGACCAATGTCTTTTGATGACCTAACTTAAATTATATCAGTCAGAACAAATTTAAATACATATTGCGCTTCATATTAAGGATAATAGCGTAGTGAAGAATATTTGATTACCTGGACGCCTTCGGAGGCAGCGGAAACAGGCGACGCTGTGTAATCAGAGTCGAGGGTGAGAAAAAGGAAGATAGCGAGGGCAAAGAAGGAAATTGCCATGAGAAGTAGCAGCACTATGAACCAGGTTCTTTGCCAAAAAGGAAGATCGAGATCCGATTCGGATGTTTGACCTAAGGATTCTTTGAGCACTATTCGTTTCGGGCCAGATGCTACGGCTTGACTCAAAGTCGACGGCGGTGCTGATTTCCTTCGAGCAAGAGTTTGATGCTGGTGTTGTTGTTGTTGGCCTGAGGGAGCCACGATGAAGCTCTTTTGCGGATGCCCGGTGGAGCTCCGACGATGTTCCGATTATGAGTTGAAATGAAATTTCAAGTGGATTTGTATTTTCCTCCTAATCTCCGACGATGTTGATGATCCTTGTGTGCTTGGGCTGATGGAGGAGTCTTTTTTAGTGTTGGGATGCCACGTTGGAGGAGCGGCCCGAGCAAATCGATTTTCTCCACGTGGAATTTTGATGACTTGGCCGGTTTTGGTTGGAAGAGCAGGTTGCTCTCTACGTGTCCGTGAAGACTAACTGAACCGGTCGACACGGACCGTTGTATAGGGAAATTTTCATAAGTTTCTCAAATAGCCTTTTTTGAGGCCATGGTTTATATTTTGTTCCTACTTTAAGAAGTTTTAAGAATATAATTCATATGCTTGACAATCGAAAGAATGAAAAAATTACGCCATTGATTCCAAAGTGATCTAAAATTTGGATATAGGTATTTCTATAGGTTGTTCTTTTTTTTCTTTAACTTAAAAAATTAGTCTGGAATTCTCAAGAGCTTGCGTTAAAACTTTCGACCAACTTTAGAGGTCTAAAGTTTAGCCATAATTTTTTTTACAGTAGTTCAATTTACTTTACAATATCAATCAATCAACAACAACAACGACCCAGTGTAATTCCACTAGTAGGTTTTAGGGAGGGTAATGTGTACACAGACCTTATCCCTAGCCCGAGGGGTAGAGAGGTTGTTCCGATAGACCCTCGGCTCAAGAAGACAAAGAGAGACAATATATCAGTACCGTCAATAAAACAATAGAAAGAAATAACAGCATCACAAGAACATAGATGAAAAGCAAAACAATAACCAATAGATAAAGCCTGACACTAAGAGGAACGAAAGAGTAATGTGAACTCAACATTAACTGCTAGCAGTCTAAGAAAACATCCGAATAGACTAACCTCACTCTGGTGCGCCGGAGAAATATGCTCAACTACCTCCTAACATACGACCTTAATACTTGACCTTCACAACTTCCTGTCTAGGGCCATGTCCTCGGTAATCTGAAGCCTCTCCATGTCCTACCTAATCACCTCTCCCCAATACTTCTTAGGCCGCCCTCTACCTCTCCTTGTGCCCATCAAAGCCAGTCGCTCGCACCTCCTTACCGGGGCATCTGGGCTTCTACTCTGAACATGTCCGAACCATCTGACCATTGCTTTCCGCAGCTTGTCATCCATAGGGGCCATGCCCACCTTATCCCGAATATCTTCATTCCAAATCTTATCCATCTTAGTATGCCCGCACATCCACTTCAACATCCTCATTTCTGCTACTTTCATCTTCTGGATATCTGATTTCTTAACTAGCCAACATTCAGCCCCATACAACATAGTCGGTCTAAGAATCGTTCTATAAAACTTACCTTTGAGTATAAGTGGCACTTTCTTGTCACATAGGACTCCAGACGCTAACCTCCACTTTATCCACCCCACCCATATCCGGTGTGTGATATCCTCATCGATCACCCCATCCGCCTGTATAATCGACCTAAGGTACTTGAAGTTGCCCCTCTTGAGGATGGCCCGTGATCCAGGCCTCACGTCCAATCCCGCTTTCTTCGGCTCGATGCTGAACTTGAACTCTAGATATTCCGTTTTAGTCCTGCTCAACTTGAAACCCTTGGACTCTAGGACCTGTCTCCAAGCCTCCAGCCTCTCGTTGACGTCACCTCGCGTCTCATCAATCAGAACTATGTCGTCAGCAAATAACATATACCATGGCACCTCGCCTTGAATATGGTGTGTCAATGCATCCATCGCCAGGGAAAATAGGAATGGGTTGAGCGCAGATACTTGGTGTAACCCCATAACAACTGGAAATGCTCTGAGTCGCCTCCTACTGTTCTAACCCGAGTCTTAGCTCCATCATACGTGTCCTTAATCACCTTAATGTAAGCAACCGACATATCTTTTTCCTCCAGGAATCTCCATCGAACCTCTCTTGGAACCTTATCATATGCTTTCTCTAGATCAATAAATACCATGCGCAGATCCTTCTTTCTATCCCTATACTTTACAACATCAATCATAGGTCTAAAAATCGCATTTCATGCCATATCAGTTCCTTCTATCCACCTTATTGGTTTTTGATGTTAGGCTAAAAATTCATATTTTTGCGTGTAAATTGCCTTGCATTATGCCTTGACCTTGTCAAATTTAGTGTGAATATTTGTGACTCGAGCTTAATAATGATATTTTTATGTGTAAAGCTCAATCGTAGGTGATATAGAAGGATTGTGCATAAATTGAAGCTTAAATGGAAGAATTTAGAGGAGTATGATTTTTGGCATCCAGGTTTGAGCCAGGCACAGTTCAAAACGCAAAAGACAGCACTACACAGAGTTGGGCGCCCAGCTTTGCGCCAGGCGCGCAATTCAAAACACGGAAACGCGAATCTTTTCCTATTTTGGCTAGGACTTGGTAGTTTCAACCCACACGCCCTCCCAACATGTATAAAAGCGGTTCTAAACCTATTTTTTAGAGGGGAGACATTATTGGAGAGGCAAAAGGCTACGAGAACAATTGGAAGCAACGAATCACAAGAGTTTTCTCTCCGTTCTTCCTTAATCTATAGTAATATCCAGGTTACTGTACAACCAGAGCATCTCATGAAGGCCTCTACAAAAACAGAGTCACCTACACAGGAGCAACTCCATCTTATGTATTTATCTAATTAATAGATTTATATGTTTATATAAAGTTCTATTTTCTTTATATATAATTATTTTTCGCTCCTCTATCCTATTTGTAGGTTTTTAATTAACAAAATAAATTCTTTACTATATGTCCAATGATTAATTCTTTTCATCTTCACCATATAAATCCATATCTATGATTTTGATTTTGTGAAGGCAGGAGCAAGCGTCTTTATCTCAAAAAATCATTGGAATTAAGAATAATTATGATCGCAGAACAGGTAGAATCAATAAACTTGGCTAGAACTTGCTCTAAATGTTTCTCAAGGCGAAATAATAGGTGACACTGATTTTTGAAAAATGAAATTAGGCTTTCTTTAATTTACCATTTTCTAGCCTTTTTTTTCATAACCAAATGTATATAAATATTCCATTAACCCTTCTTTGAACCTTTATCCCATTTTTTTTTCAACACCTTGATCTCTTATAAAGAAAAAGAAAAAAAGGAGTCATTATATATATACTTATATCGTTATGAGATCTTTCAGCTAAAAATGAGCAGAGATTGGTGTATATATTTTTAAAAAAAATAAGATGGAAGAAAAAAAATGTGAATATAAGATATTTGAAATTACAGAAAAAAAAATGTTATCAAAGGGAGGAAATGTCGAGCACCAAAAAATGTTTGCTCCAAACTGGGGAAAAGAAGTCACTATAAAAATATCCTAATCCTACCAGCTTGAAGCCTAACATACAAGCCAAGAAAAGTCCTAAAAAGATTCTAAAAATCAGTGTTGAACCCATATTAGTAGAGAAAAACATAAGGAGCAAGCCTATGGACAAGAGTATGATATTAACTGAATAAGTGATCATAAATCTATCAATTCTGAAAGATTCAAGGGAAGAAGATTGCAAGTTCGTGTTGATCAAAGCAGAATTCAGAAATAAGGTAAAAGATTTGGTGAATTTAAAAAGGTTAATTGCATTGACCATATTAGAGGATATTTATTTTGTATTTATTTTCTATCCTACAATAGTCATGGATTTTGGAAAATATATTTTTAAAGTATTCTTTTTCCTTGAGGACGAGCAAAAGTTCAAGTATGGGGGTATTTGATGGATATAAATTATTCATGTAATTTCATATGTAAAAAATAAGTTTTTAAAATAAAATATGAATAATAATATCCTTTCCTCGCATATTTTCTAACAATTCTTGTAGGAAAAAGAAATTATGAAAAAGACAAGAGAATGAAGCAAAGCCACAGTTGCACACATCATCGTCATATACGCAAATGTGGAATATACATATGGGCTATTGGAAAAAGCCAATTAGAGATGAAAAAGAGTATAGTTGCATATGTGGAATCTATATACGCAAAGGTAACATTCACATACATGGAACCTACATTTGCAAGTCTAAGTCATGAAGTCAATAATGGAAGCAAAAGAGTCATAGATGCATGCGTGGAATCTATATTTGCAAAGGTCACATTCGCACACATGGAACCTACATTTGCAAGACTAACTCATGAAGTCAAAAGTGAAGCACAAGTGTCATATTTGCATATATTGAATCTACCTACATAAAGTTCACTTCACATACATGGAAGCTACATTTGCAAGACTAACTCATGAAGTCAAGAGTGAAGCACAAGTGTCATATTTGCATATATAGAACCTGCGTACACAAAGGTCACTTCACAGACATGGATTTCATATTCGCAAAAGTGGAACATGACAAAAGCTACTCATCTTTTCCTATAAATAGCAAGCTCTCTTTGTATAAGAAATATTCAATCTTTGTAAGACAAGAACTAGTCTTGGTCTTTCTTTCTTTTCTTTCCTTATAGTAAAAATATTTCTAGCCTTCTAAATATCCTTTTTAGCTTTTCTTACTCCATAATGGAGTAATTTCTTTTTGTTGGGATAGTTGATGAAGCTTGATATATTTTATAATATTATCTTAGTTTTTATATATTCTTGGCTTGAAACTTTTTATTTACATTTTATACTGTACTGAAATGATAGTTTTTAATTACTCTATCATCACATCTATATATTTTATCTCTAAGTTATTCATATATTAATTTTGTAATTCTCGCGGAGCAAAATTAATATATAATAACTTATGAATAAAATAGTAGTGTGAAAGTAATTTTTCAGTAAACTATTATTTCAAGTCAATAATCTTGCTTGCCTCAGTTTTAATTCTCACGGAGGAATTGTTGTAGGAAAGATTATTGATCCTTGGTAAAAATATTCTCACGAAGTTTTTACTTTCTTTTAGCACAATTCAAGCAAGAAAAATATATCGGTTTAAACATCACTAGTCTTAAATTGATTAATTAACATAATTCTCATGGAGTGTTATTAATTGGTTATTTCTTAGTGAGCCAAATATAATCGTATAGAAATAAGCAATTATTCTTTAGAGAAATAAATGTAGAAATTGAGATTTTATTATAGTAATATTATCAGGTGAATTCAATGATTCCCAACTCCTTTTTAAATTATAAATCTTCCAAAAATATTTATTTTGTTTAAGCATATAACAAGCTTTAAACCTCACTCACTTTTCATCAATTTGATTCTCTCAAATAGTAGTTAAAATATTACAAATCTATAGCATAGTTTATACAGTCTTTGTGGGACGATATCTTAAACTATATTAGAATTTGATAGAGTACGAGCAGAAAATTCCAATACACATTGGCCTCGTTAGGCAACAACGCCAAAATGTAATCACGCCCAACTATGCCTTAGAAAAAGGAGGCCTAGAGTTGTGATCACGCCAAAATGTGTAGGCCTCCTTTTTATAAGGCATAGTTGGACGTGTATTGCTGACTCTGTTTTTGTAGAGGCCTTCATGAGATGCTCTGGTTGTACAGTAACCTGGACATTGACCAGATTAATTGTTTAAACATTTAATTATCAAACCTATATTGGACTTATAAGGCTCCATTGCTTCACCCTCAATGGCTACGGGTATGTCACTATAGTTCTAAGTTTAACGTCGTCAGCTCGACTTATTACCTGTGGAATTCATCAGTCTATCAAAGTGACCGATGAATGTTGCTCAAAATGTCCTCCAAAGTACAATTTTACTCTTTGACCATTTACCTTAAACTTGTCACCTCCATTGTTCTGTTGGATTTTAATTGCTCCATATGGAGTAACATTTGTTACATTGTAAGGACCTGTCCACCTTGATTTTAATTTTCCTGGGAATAGCCTGAGTCGACTATTGTAAAGAAGCACTTGATCTCCAATTTTAAAACTTTTTTGTCTGATCAAATTGTCATGCCATTTTTTTGTTTTTTCTTTAAAAAGTTTTGCATTTTCATAGGCTTCCAACCTCATTTCTTCCAACTCATTAACCTGAAAAAATCTATTTTTACCAGCAGAGGCTAACTCAAAGTTTAATGCTTTTAGTGCTCAAAAAGTTTTGTGTTCTAATTCAACTGGCAAATGACAAGCTTTCCCAAAGACTAATCTATATGGGGATGTTCTAATTGGCGTTTTGAACGCCGTTCGGTATGCCCATAATGCATCATCTAATTTTAAGCCCGGTCTTTTCTTGAGATTCCAACCGTTTTTCAAGAATTCTTTTTAACTCACGGTTGGAAATTTCAACTTGCCCTTGAGTTTGAGCATGATATGGTGTTCCTGTCTTATGAGTCGCACCATATTTTGTCAGCAAAGCAGAAAACTATCTATTCATAAAATGAGTCCCTTAGTCACTAATAATGACTCGTGGTGTGCCAAATCTGGTAAAAATATTTTTTTTTTGAGAAAATTGCACACAGTTTGAGCATCAGTTTTCCTTGTGGGGATGGCTTCAACCCATCTGGACACATAATCCACAGCCACAAAGATATATTCAAAAGAATGAGAAGAAGGAAAAAGACCCATGAAATCTATTCCCAAACATCAAATATTTCACATACCTGTATTGAGTGCAATGGAATCTCATCTCTCTTAGTGATGTTACATGTTCTCTGACACCTGTCACATTGTGCAACGTATGCTCGGGTATCTTTAAAAAGAGTCGGCCAGAAAAATCCAGCTTCCAAAACTTTAAAGGCTGTTCGATTTGCTGCATAATAACCTCCAATTGCT